ACCGACCGTCCCCGACAGAGTGGAAGTTACTGCCCCAGATCTTTCAGTCGATGATCTACCCGTTATCACGGCCTCAAATAGATCTGTTGGCCACAAGGTTCAACAACCAACTTCCAAAGTTCGTATCACCAATCCCAGACTCCTTGGCATGGGACCTCGACACGTTGGCAATATCATGGGAGGGTCTCAATGCCTACGTGTTCCCCCCTCGAGCTCTGCTACCAAAAGTAATACAGAAACTATTGGCCACCAACAACATACTACTGCTTTTGGTCGCACCCTTCTGGCCAGCGAGAAGTTGGTTCGTCAACCTAAGAAGCCTGGCAGAGCCAAACCCAGTACCGCTTCCCAACTGGGACGACCTACTTCTTCACCCTCACTCGGAACTGCGCCATGGGTCACCTCAGACCCCCAATCTATACGTTTGGTGCATCTTCAGAGGTCTCTCATAGCTAAGGGCTACTCTCCCTGAGTAGCCACAGCTATCATTTCAGCGCATCATACTTTGACCCGTTCCTTGTACGACAACAAGTGGAAGAAGTTTGAAGACTATTGCAAGCTTAGGGGAATTGCATCTCCCACTTCCACCTCGGCTCAGGTCGTTGCTGAGTTTCTCCAGCATCTCCGCACTACTGAGAAACTCAAGGGTACTACGTTAGCTACCTACTTAGCCGCCATTAACTCGGTTTTGGCTACCACCACGGGCACGAAGATTTCAGCTGTTCCCAAGTTGCAGAGTCTACTACGCTCCTAATTTCTCTGACCAGTCCAGGAAGTTCAGACCTCTAGCCTGGGATCTGTCCGTCGTCCTTCGTCATATGATTTCTACAGATTATCAACCTTTAGAAGACAAGGACTTCGAACAAGTGACATTCAAGACATTCTTCCTTGTAGCTTTGGATACCGCTGCTCGTATATCTGAACTGCATGCGCTTGATGTCAGTCGGGTGCGGTTTGAGCGGAAGAAGCATGGCAAGGCTTTCCTGGGTCTCCGCTGGGACTTCATTGCGTAAAACCAACTGCCAGGGCAACCGGACTGGATGTTTACCATTCCCCCGTTGTCCACCATTCTTGGGCCTGATGATAATGAAGATTTAACACTATGCCTTGTTAGGGCTCTACACGTTTTTCTTGCTGCTTCCACGATCCTGCGAGCCTACACCTTTGCAGGGTTGCCTCCTCCAGCCGCTTCCAATCCTCATGAGACTCTTGCACTAGCCTCAACGATGGCCCTCCATAGCAACTGCTCCTTGACCGCTATCATGGAAGATGCTTCTGGCGTTCTGATACAGTCTTCTCTTCACATTACCTGCGAGACCTGTCTGTTACGGATGTCCAGGGACTACACCAGTTCGGACCTCCTGTACTGGCTCAGCAGCTTACATTGGCCCAACAACGCAGATGAGGTACGGTTCTGCATTCGTGTTACTGCTTCCTTGTATATACTAAATAAAAGTTGAACTGGATCTCAACCTTTTGTTCTCATGATATGGGTTTAAGAACTACTTCACTTGGCCTCCATACCAAGGCATCGGAATACGGCCACCTAGCGTGGCCCTACGGACCTGTGGCACAATCAGTATGACGATGCAGAGGTGTTCGACATTCACGCTTACTGACCTCTACTCCAAGAAGCAATTACGTCAGTGAAGTGTGACACTCCCGAATTCCAGTGGATTTCGTTGCGTTCTGCCTCCGAAGTTGCTGGGCACATCCTTTGACTAAGCTTAGGCAAAGGAGTGAGGGTCAATTTGATGCTGCCCGGAACTGAATGTTAAACCTTGGAGTTGCTTAGTTGTGTTTCTCTTTCACCTGCCTCGGTCGGTGTCTGGGGGGCCTTCTTGAAGCAGGGGCTGGCCCGATTCTAGTCGCAAGACTTTAATTACGGGGGTACCTTGTAAATCGTGGCGAGGCGAGGCCTACTTGCCGAGTTGCGTCCCTTGTCTTGTACAAGGTTGCGGCCGAACACCACATCGCTCAGGAGCACCCATCTTCCTTGGAGTCATTGTGCTTAGTAAGCCAAGGGGTTCCGGAGAACCCACTACAAACAAAGGAGTTGCGTGCATGCATAACAGGCCTCCCTTGTACATCGCTATCTACGGTTGTCATCAGTCCACACAACTCCAAGACCAACTGATCGCACTGTCCAGACAGAAGGGTAAACTGCGGCCCGCCGTCCAACGTTGGCTCCAAGATGAGAATGATCATTCAAAGTAGTCACGTGGGCAATTAGTGGAGCATGCTGCAAGCTTTATTAGGAACTAGGAAACTAATTAAGGAGAGCAGCATGGAGTGCACGGGCGAATGGACAAGGAGGCCCATGGAAAAAAGTTTACAGTCGTTCCACTAAAAGTTGAAGCAAGAGAGAGAGGTGCAAGTCGTGAGATAGGATAAGTATATAAATATACAATTTATATTAAAATTTCCAAGTCTGTACTAAAGAGGGTCACCCTATAATAAGTGTGGTGACCATCTTCCAAGTGATCGTCAGGAAGAAAGTGAATATCAAGAAATCAAACCCATTTTCTGTAAAACCATTATCTGTAACCCATTATCTGTAAACCTGGCATCTGTAAACCCAGCATCTGTAAACCCGGAATCTGTAAACCAAGTATCTGTAAAAGTATCTGTAAACCCGGTATCTGTAAACCCAGTATCTGTAAACCCAGCATCTGTAAACCCGCTATCTGTGAGCCCAGTATCTTTAAACCCAGTATCTGTAAACCGGGCATCTGTAAACCTGGCATCTGTAAACCCAGTATCTGGATACGTTAACCCGGCATCTGTAAACCCGCTATCTGTGAGCCCAGTATCTGTAAACCCAGCATCTGTAAACCCAGCATCTGTAAACAGTATCTGTATCTGTAAACCCGGTATCCGTAAACCCAGGATCTGTAAACCCAGTATCTGTGAGCCCAGTATCTGTAAACCCACTATCTGTAAACCCAGCATCTGTAAACACAGCATCTGTAAACACAGTATCTGTATCTGTAAACCCGGTATCCGTAAACCCAGGATCTGTAAACCCACTATCTGGATACGTTAACCCAGCATCTGTAAACCTGCTATCTGTGAGCCCAGTATCTGTAAACCCAGTATCTGGATACGTAAGCCCAGCATCTGTAAACCTGGCATCTGTAAACCCGGTATCTGTAAACCCAGTATCTGTGAGCCCAGTATCTGTAAACCCAGCATCTGTAAACCCAGGATCTGTAAACCCAGCATCTGTAAACCCAGTATCTGTATCTGTAAACCCGGTATCCGTAAACCCAGGATCTGTAAACCCAGTATCTGTAAACCCAGTATCTGTAAACACAGCATCTGTAAACACAGTATCTGTATCTGTAAACCCGGTATGTGTAAACCTAGCAATTGCAAACCCAGTACCTGTAAACCCAGCATCTCTGTAAACCTACATCTGTAAACCCAGTGTCTGTAAACCTGGTATCTGTAAACCCAATATCTGTATACCCAGCATTTTTAAACCCAATATCTGTAAATCCGGCATCTGAAAACCCAACCAAGCAGCTGTAAACCCGGCATCTGTAAACCTGTCATCTGTAAACCCAATATCTGTAAATCCGGTATCTGTAAATGCAGTATTTGTAAACCCAGCATCTGTGAATCGGTATCTTTATCTGTATCTGTAAACCCGGTATCCGTAAACCCGGTACCCGTAAACCCAGCATGTGTGAATCTGTATCTGTAAACCCAATATCTGTAAACCCAGTATCTGTATCTGTCAACCCAGTATCTGTAAACCCGGTATCTGTAAACCCAGTATCTGTAAACCCGGTATCTGTAAACTGAATTTCTGTAAACCCGGTATATGTAAACCCAGCTTCTGTAAACCTGATATGTGTAAACCCAGTATCTGTAAACCCGGCATCTGTAAACCCGGCATCTGTAAACCCAGTATCTGTTAACCCAGTATCTATAAACTGAATATCTGTAAACCCAGTATCTGTAAACCCGGCATCTGTAAACCCAGTATCTGTAAACCCAGTATCTATAAACTGAATATCTGTAAACCCAGTATCTGGATACGTAAACCAAGCATCTGTAAACTCGGTATCTTAAAGACAGCATCTGTAAACCCGGCATCTGTAAACCCGGAACCTGTAAACCTGGTATCTGTAAACCCGGCATCTGTTAACCCGGTATCTGTAAACCCGGCATCTGTAAACCCAGTATCTATAAACTGAATATCTGTAAACCCAGTATCTGGATACATAAACTCAGCATCTGTAAACCCGGCATCTGTTAAGCCGGCATCTTTAAACCCAGCATCTGTAAACCCGACATCTGGAAACCTGGCATCTGTAAACCCAGCATCTGTTAAGCCGGCATCTGTAAACCCGGCATCTGTAAACCCTGTATCTGTAAACCCAGTATCTATGAACTGAATATGTGTAAACCCAGTATCTATGAACTGAATATGTGTAAACCCAGTATCTGGATACGTAAACCCAGTATCTGTTAACCCGGCATCTGTAAACCCGTTATCTGTAAACCTGGCATCTGTAAACCCAGCATCTATAAACCCGGCATCTGTAAACCCAGCATCTGTTTACCCAGCATCTGGAAACCTGGCATCTGTAAACCTGGCATCTGTTAACCTGGCATCTGTAAACCAGGCATCTGTAAACCCTGTATCTGTAAACCCAGTATCTATAAACTGAATATGTGTAAACCCAGTATCTGGATATGTAAACCCAGCATCTGTAAACCCAGTATCTGTTAACCTGGCATCTGGAAAACCGGCATCTGTAAACCCGGCATCTGTATCTGTGTGTTGCAGGTGGTATCAGTTATAGTCTGATCAATGTCTACTTTACTGATTTCATGGAAGCATCCCAAACGAGATAATGGCAATATTTTGTATGCTTGAGTCACCCCTGCCACCAAGGGGAAGATGGTTTGTTGGTTTTCTACAGTGTCATGTTGGCAGGTTTTCGTAGATCACTTGCAAATACTGATACAGTTTCATTCATTTTTAGATGGATGGTTTCCAGCGGCACTTTGATGATCAGATTTACAACTACGGGAAACAAGTGCTAATTAATTTAGTAAGTGAATGTTTATATCTAACCAGTTGTCTACACTAGTGGTGTTCTTTCAATGGCTCTATATCTAACCAGTTGTCTACACCAGTGGTGTTCTTTCAATGGCTCTATATCTAACCAGTTGTCTACACCAGTGGTGTTCTTTCAGTGGTACTCTATGGCACTCCGTGGTGCTCTGGTCCAGGAACAGGAAAGTTGAGTTTGGATTTATTCATTTTTTCAGGTCAACCAGAAAGGCTACGAGCTTCAAATGGAACAAGCTTTTGCCCAGACTGTGGTCAACTCCCAGAACTCTAACATCAGGTACACCAATAGCATGTGTTACACCTGCATATACTACATGTATATTGAAACATAATTTCCATATAGTATGTGAGTGAAATGCCCTCTTACAGCACATTGTTGAAAATATAAATCGAAACACGTAGACAAAAAGAAAAAGACAAACAAAGGGCATCGCATCTTACACATCATATGTGTATTGGTGATTGGAAGGCTAAGCCAACAGGTCTCTTCACAAACAGACCTTGCTGGAATGCCAGGTTTTGTGGTCAATATTTCATCATGGAATATGTTACAATGTCCGAGTTATGTAGGACTTCTGCACTAATACCAAGCATACTGTCTGGTTGTGTTAAGTATACTGCCTGGGTGTGTCAAGTATACCATCTGGTTGTGTCAAGTATACCGTCTGGTTGTGTCAAGTATACCGTCTGGTTGTGTCAAGTATACCATCTGGTTGTGTCAAGTATACCGTCTGGGTGTTTCAAGTGTACCATCTTGTTGTGTCAAGTATACCGTGTGGGTGTGTCAAGTATACCGTGTGGGTGTGTCAAGTATACCGTTTGGGTGTGTCAAGTATACCGTCTGGTTGTGTCAAGTATACGTTCTGGTTGTGTCAAGTATACCATCTGGTTGTGTCAAGCATACCGTGTGGGTGCAAGTATACCGCGTTGGGTGTGTCAAGTATACCGTGTGGGTGTGTCAAGTATACCGTCTGGTTGTGTCAAGTATACGGTCTGGTTGTGTCAAGTATACCGTCTGGTTGTGTCAAGTATACCACCTGGTTGTGTCAAGTATACCGTCTGGTTGTGTCAAGTATACTATCTGGTTGTGTCAAGTATACCGTGTGGGTGTGTCAAGTATACCTACTGGTTGTGTCAAGTATACCGACTGGTTGTGTCAAGTATACCGTCTGGTTGTGTCAAGTATGCCATCTGGTTGTGTCAAGTATACCGTCTGGTTGTGTCAAGTATACCGTCTGGTTGTGTCAAGTATACCGTCTGGTTGTGTCAAGTATACCGTCTGGGTTTGTCAAGTATACCATCTGGTTGTGTCAAGTATACCATCTTGGTGTGTCAAGTATACCATCTGGTTGTGTCAAGTATACCATCTGGTTGTGTCAAGTATACCATCTTGGTGTCAAGTATACCATCTGGTTGTGTCAAGTATACCTACTGGTTGTGTCAAGTATGCCCTATATCTGTATCTCTGACCGCAGGTACGAGTCATTTGACTTCCACAAGGAGTGCAGCAAGATGAGATGGGATCGCCTGTCAATACTCACAGACAAGTTGGCGGAGGAGAGGAGACAGTTTGGGTAGGTGCCTTACACTGAATCTTTCCTATAAAAATTCCACACGCAGTCTCGTGGATGACAATACATTGTGTACAGGAATGTATAAACATTCAGTTCACAGAATCTTTAAAGATCTGAATATACCGCAGATTTACAGCCACATTGTTCTGGTGATAAGTGAGGGGTAGTGTCCATGTGGCAGGTACTTCATGCATGGGGAACATTGTTCTGGTGATAAGTGAGGGGTAGTGTCCATGTGGCAGGTACTTCATGCATGGGAAACATTGTCCTGGTGATAAGTGAAGGGTAGTGTCCATGTGGCAGGTACTTCATGCATGGGGAACACTGTTCTGGTGATAAGTGAAGGGTTGTGTCCATGTGGCAGGTACTTCATGCATGGGGAACATTGTTCTGGTGATAAATGAAGGGTAGTGTCCATGTGGCAGGTACTTCATGCATGGGGAACATTGTTCTGGTGATAAGTGAGGGGTAGTGTCCATGTGGCAGGTACTTCATGCATGGGAAACATTGTCCTGGTGATAAGTGAAGGGTAGTGTCCATGTGGCAGGTACTTCATGCATGGGAAACATTGTTCTGGTGATAAGTGAAGGGTTGTGTCCATGTGGCAGGTACTTCATGCATTGGGAACATTGTTCTGGTGATAAATGAAGGGGTAGTGTCCATGTGGCAGGTAATTCATGCATGGGAAACATTGTTCTGGTGATAAGTGAAGGGTAGTGTCCATGTGGCAGGTACTTCATGCATGGGAAACATTGTTCTGGTGATAAGTGAAGGGTTGTGTCCATGTGGCAGGTACTTCATGCATGGGGAACATTGTTCTGGTGATAAGTGAAGGGTAGTGTCCATGTGACAGGTACTTCATGCATGGGAAACATTGTCCTGGTGATAAGTGAAGGGTTGTGTCCATGTGACAGGTACTTTCATGCATGGGAAACATTGTCCTGGTGATAAGTGAAGGGTTGTGTCCATGGGGCAGGTACTTCATGCATGGGAAACATTGTCCTGGTGATAAGTGAAGGGTAGTGTCCATGTGGCAGGTACTTCATGCATGGGAAACATTGTCCTGGTGATAAGTGAAGGGTTGTGTCCATGTGGCAGGTACTTTATGCATGGGAAACATTGTCCTGGTGATAAGTGAAGGGTAGTGTCCATGTGGCAGGTACTTCATGCATGGGGAACATTGTCCTGGTGATAAGTGAAGGGTTGTGTCCATGTGGCAGGTACTTCATGCATGGGGAACATTGTCCTGGTGATAAGTGAAGGGTTGTGTCCATGTGGCAGGTACTTCATGCATGGGAAACATTGTTCTGGTGATAAGTGAAGGGTAGTGTCCATGTGGCAGGTACTTCATGCATGGGGAACATTGTCCTGGTGATAAGTGAAGGGTAGTGTCCATGTGGCAGGTACTTCATGCATGGGAAACATTGTTCTGGTGATAAGCGAAGGGTAGTGTCCATGTGGCAGGTACTTCATGCATGGGAAACATTGTCCTGGTGATAAGTGAAGGGTAGTGTCCATGTGGCAGGTACTTCATGCATGGGGAACATTGTTCTGGTGATAAGTGAAGGGTAGTGTCCATGTGGCAGGTACTTCATGCATGGGGAACATTGTCCTGGTGATATGTGAAGGGTAGTGTCCATGTGGCAGGTACTTCATGCATGGGAAACATTGTCCTGGTGATAAGTGAAGGGTAGTGTCCATGTGGCAGGTACTTCATGCATGGGAAACATTGTTCTGGTGATAAGCGAAGGGTAGTGTCCATGTGGCAGGTACTTCATGCATGGGAAACATTGTCCTGGTGATAAGTGAAGGGTTGTGTCCATGGGGCAGGTACTTCATGCATGGGGAACATTGTCCTGGTGATAAGCGAAGGGTTGTGTCCATGTGGCAGGTACTTCATGCTTGGGAAACGTTGTCCTGGTGATAAGTGAGGGGTAGTGTCCATGTGGCAGGTACTTCATGCATGGGAAACATTGTTCTGGTGATAAGTGAAGGGTTGTGTCCATGTGACAGGTACTTCATGCATGGGAAACATTGTCCTGGTGATAAGTGAAGGGTTGTGTCCATGTGGCAGGTACTTCATGCATGGGAAACGTTGTCCTGGTGATAAGTGAGGGGTAGTGTCCATGTGGCAGGTACTTCATGCATGGGAAACATTGTTCTGGTGATAAGTGAAGGGTTTTGTCCATGTGGCAGGTACTTCATGCATGGGAAACATTGTCCTGGTGATAAGTGAAGGGTAGTGTCCATGTGGCAGGTACTTCATGCATGGGGAACATTGTTCTGGTGATAAGTGAAGGGTTGTGTCCATGTGGCAGGTACTTCATGCATGGGAAGGACGGTAGTGTGCTGTCATCACAACAGGGTGTGTTCCGAACCAACTGCATGGACTGCCTTGACCGCACCAATGTCGTCCAGAGTCTTCTGGCAAAAGATAACCTGCTTGACCAGTTCCAGGTAGGACAATATGCTTGCAGCAAGATGACATTCTGCTTGTAGCTAGTTGATATAATACTTGCTCCTAATTCACATTATGCTTTCACCTAGTGGAAACTATGCTTGCTGTGAGTCAACAGCAGACATTAATTGTGGAAGTGCCATTCAATCTACCAAATAAATTTTCCATTAGAATCTTTGTAGAATCTGTCAATATTTTGGTTTCAGAGATTGGGAATACTAGCTCAGGGAGAACGGATCCCGGAGAAATGTCAGTTTGACACCGTCTTCAAGAATGGTGGGTGTTGTGACCAGTTTCTAGGGCACAGCGTGTCAAGCTTTTGATGATTTACCATTTAGGTAGAACACAACATTGCTACCAAATACTTCTGATGTAGAAAAGCAAGTAATGTAATGGCACAGAAAGCTGTAGTGTTTGAATGATGAGAACATCCTGACCTAGTTACCTCCCATGTGTTGCAGTCTGGGCTGACAATGCAGACACTCTCTCCAAGCAGTATGCTGGAACAGGGGCTTTGAAGACAGATTTCACCAGGTAACAAGCATTTATGAACAAGTTGGCAACAAGCACCACACTTTCTGGTAACTGACAAAAACAGTGAACAGAATAATGTATCTGGGCTGGTGACATGATGAATGTGTTTTTCCTGTCCAGGACAGGGAGGAGGACCAAGATGGGGCTGATGATGGATGGCTGGAACTCCCTCATCAGGTACTTCCTCAACAACTTCCAGGACGGTTTCCGACAGGTGAGAACTGCTACAGACATGAAGCAGGCATCCTACTGTGTGTTCAGTCTTCTGCCATCATCTTTTGCCATGTCCACCGTTGATTTATTGTGGATGTGTGTTGGTGTAAAGGACTTCAGGTTCGTTCACCTCAGTGAAATTGTGGTTTCATCTGGGATGATGTTGATTAGATACAAAAATAAATCTTCTTCTCAAAAGCATAAAATGTCAGAGACCAGAAACATGAAGTTGTGTGATTTTGTTTTGTTTGTATATTCAACACCACAATCAGCAATATTCCAGCGATGTGGCGATGGTCTGTAAACAATTAAGTCTGGACCAAGCTGTGTGTACCTGATTACTAATTTCCACACTGAATCTTCGTAGGTCTAGGGTTTGTGTGTGTGTGTGTGTGTGTGTGTGCTCGTACGTGCGTGTGTTTTTTTAGGTGTGTGTGAAATGGTAACCTTGTGTAGTTCCAAGGTTGTGCAAGGAAACATCATCAGAAATCAAATGTGCTTAGCCGTGACATCAATGCTTCTGTAAACAGTTATTGAAAATCCTTGACCAAACAGGTGTGGTGTGGTGTGATGATGATGATGATGATGATGATGATGATGATGATGATGATGATTACAGGATGCCATTGACCTGTTCCTTGGCAACTACCAGGTGGAGGAGACCGAGGGCCTGACCTCAACATCCCCTCTCACGGTGGAGAGGGACTGGAAGTTTTATGCTGTAAGTTGACAGACAGTGTGTTCTACCCTTAAACAGCTGCCATGTTCTCACTTCATATAACTGTAAGTTGACAGAGTGTCCTACCCAGTAACCCATTCTTGTCGCAAGAGGCTACTAACGAGATCGGGTCGTCAGGCTCGCTGACTTGTTTGACACATGTCATCACATCCCAGTTGCGTAGATCGATGCTCATGCTGTTGATCACTGGATTGTCTGGTCCAGACTCGATTATTTACAGACCGCTGCCATATAACTGGAATATTGCTGAGTGGTGTAAAACTCACTCACTTACCCTTTAACCCAAGGCTTACTGCTGTTCCTTTTCTTATAGATACCTGTGATATTTTTGGTTGCCATGGCAATGTTTGTCATCAGCATCTTACTGCCAGATGGTAAGTACTGCCTGCCACAATAATGTCATCATTATCCCACTGCCAGATGGTAAGTACTGCCTGCCACAATAATGTCATCATCATCCCACTGCCAGATGGTAAGTACTGCCTGCCACAATAATGTCATCATCATCCCACTGCCAGATGGTAAGTACTGCCTGCCACAATAATGTCATCATTATCCCACTGCCAGATGGTAAGTACTGCCTGCTGCAATAATGTCATCATTATCCCACTGCCAGATGGTAAGTCCTGCCTGCCACAATAATGTCATCATTATCCCACTGCCAGATGGTAAGTCCTGCCTGCCACAATAGTGTCATTATCATCCCACTGCCAGATGGTAAGTCCTGCCTGCGACAATAATGTCATCATTATCCCACTGCCAGATGGTAAGTGCTGCCTGCCACAATAATGTCATCATCATCCCACTGCCAGATGGTAAGTCCTGCCTGCCACAATAATGTCATCATCATCCCACTGCCAGATGGTAAGTACTGCCTGCCACAATAATGATCATCATCATCCCACTGCCAGATGGTAAGTACTGCCTGCCAAATAATGTCCTGCCTGCCACAATAATGTCATCATTATCCCACTGCCAGATGGTAAGTACTGCCTGCCACAATAATGTCATCATCATCCCACTGCCAGATGGTAAGTCCTGCCTGCCACAATAATGTCATCATCATCCCACTGCCAGATGGTAAGTACTGCCTGCCACAATAATGTCATCATCATCCCACTGCCAGATGGTAAGTCCTGCCTGCCACAATAATGTCATCATTATCCCACTGCCAGATGGTAAGTCCTGCCTGCCACAATAATGTCATCATCATCCCACTGCCAGATGGTAAGTCCTGCCTGCCACAATAATGTCATCATTATCCCACTGCCAGATGGTAAGTCCTGCCTGCCACAATAATGTTATCATCATCCCACTGCCAGATGGTAAGTACTGCCTGCCACAATAATGTCATCATCATCCCACTGCCAGATGGTAAGTCCTGCCTGCCACAATAATGTTATCATCATCCCACTGCCAGATGGTAAGTCCTGCCTGCCACAATAATGTCATCATTATCCCACTGCCAGATGGTAAGTACTGCCTGCCACAATAATGTCATCATTATCCCACTGCCAGATGGTAAGTCCTGCCTGCCACAATAATGTCATCATCATCCCACTGCCAGATGGTAAGTCCTGCCTGCCACAATAATGTCATCATTATCCCACTGCCAGATGGTAAGTCCTGCCTGCGACAATAATGTCATCATCATCCCACTGCCAGATGGTAAGTACTGCCTGCCACAATAATGTCATCATTATCCCACTGCCAGATGGTAAGTACTGCCTGCCACAATAATGTCATCATTATCCCACTGCCAGATGGTAAGTCCTGCCTGCCACAATAATGTCATCATCATCCCACTGCCAGATGGTAAGTACTGCCTGCCACAATAATGTCATCATCATCCCACTGCCAGATGGTAAGTACTGCCTGCCACAATAATGATCATCATCATCCCACTGCCAGATGGTAAGTCCTGCCTGCCACAATAATGTCATCATTATCCCACTGCCAGATGGTAAGTCCTGCCTGCCACAATAATGTCATCATCATCCCACTGCCAGATGGTAAGTACTGCCTGCCACAATAATGTCATCATCATCCCACTGCCAGATGGTAAGTACTGCCTGCCACAATAATGTCATCATCATCCCACTGCCAGATGGTAAGTCCTGCCTGCCACAATAATGTCATCATTATCCCACTGCCAGATGGTAAGTACTGCCTGCCACAATAATGTCATCATTATCCCACTGCCAGATGGTAAGTCCTGCCTGCCACAATAATGTCATCATTATCCCACTGCCAGATGGTAAGTCCTGCCTGCCACAATAATGTCATCATCATCCCACTGCCAGATGGTAAGTCCTGCCTGCCACAATAATGTCATCATTATCCCACTGCCAGATGGTAAGTACTGCCTGCCACAATAATGTCATCATCCCACTGCCATGGTAAGTCCCACAATAATGTCATCATCATCCCACTGCCAGATGGTAAGTCCTGCCTGCCACAATAATGTCATCATCATCCCACTGCCAGATGGTAAGTGCTGCCTGCCACAATAATGTCATCATCATCCCACTGCCAGATGGTAAGTACTGCCTGCCACAATAATGTCATCATCATCCCACTGCCAGATGGTAAGTACTGCCTGCCACAATAATGTCATCATTTTACAAGAGGCAGATGATCTGATATGTAAGGCTGTATTGCTATATCTAATCTAAAGACTCCAAAGCTACCCAAAGGGTCTGTATGAGGCACATGTACGTCATGATGTACCCTGCTGCCTGGGACATAGGTTTGCCTGGGATGAGTTGTAGCTTCAGTACAAACAGCCCATGTTTGTAGTAACAGGTGGCTAATGGGTGGTCACACCCACTGACTTGGTTGATATCTCACATCTGTTGATCGATACTCATAATGTTAGTCACTGGATTATCTGGTTCATACTCCATCAATAACAGACCTCATCTGGAACATTGCTGAGTGCAGCACTGCATTACAAACTTGGCCCTTTGTCTCATTTCTGTTATCATTCCTTTTGCAGAACACTTCAGTGAACAAGTGATGTATGTGTTTTTCTGGGGAGCTGCCTCTGTGATTGCCTTGACTGTCATGTTTGCATTTGGCAGCGAATATGTGGACCAACCCAAACTCACCCAAGCCAAGACCAAGACAGAATAGCTATATGATCGGGGAATATTCATTGTGTGATGGACTTGTTTTGGCTTTACAATGTTGTGACGAAGCTCTACTAGTGATCACCAGTTTGTCAGCCATGTTGATATGCTACTGTTGAATCATTTCTGAAATGAGTTAGTTTCATGAACAATCTTGGCATCACCATTATCACTGACAAAGATATTTACTAAGTCCGAGTCTTCAGCAGGCCTGAGCTTGTTCTGAGACAGAAGGTAACACAAGTGTCTGGATGTATGGAGTGGGTCATGTCACATGGGTGTCAAGGGCCAAGGAGCAGTGGGTCAGGGGTCATAAAACAGGGGGTCAGGGATCATGTAGCAAGGGGTCAAGGACCATGTCACAAGGATTCATGTCAGAAGAGTTCATGTAGCTGGGGTCAGGGGTCATACAGCTGGGGAAACATCTATTAATTTGTAACTCTAGTAATGAAAAGGACCTGTCGATTTTGAGTTTTGTCTGATAGCAAAGAAAGAAATGGAAGTAATTTTTTTCAGACATTTTGCAGACAACTGTAAAACTAGTTAATACTAGTGTGAGAAAGGTGTAACAGTGTGAGCGTACCACTACCACTGGTTCACATCTCCAGTCATATGAAGTATTACTACACCTAGAAATGCCTGCTGAGTACTGTAGGGTACCATTACCTGATCAGAGGCTAGCTGAGTACTGTAGGTACCAGTATCTGATCAGAGGCTAGCTGAGTACTGTAGGGTACCATTACCTGATCAGAGGCTAGCTGAGTACTGTAGGGTACCAGTATCTGATCAGAGGCTAGCTGAGTACTGAAGGTACCATTACCTGATCAGAGGCTAGCTGAGTACTGTAGGGTACCAGTATCTGATCAGAGGCTAGCTGAGTACTGTAGGTACCAGTATCTGATCAGAGGCTAGCTGAGTACTGTAGGGTACCATTACCTGATCAGAGGCTAGCTGAGTACTGTAGGTACCAGTATCTGATCAGAGGCTAGCTGAGTACTGCAGGTACCAGTATCTGATCAGAGGCTAGCTGAGTACTGTAGGTACCATTACCTGATCAGAGGCTAGCTGAGTACTGTAGGGTACCAGTATCTGAACAGCGGCTAGCTGAGTACTGTAGGTACCAGTATCTGATCAGAGGCTAGCTGAGTACTGCAGGTACCAGTATCTGGTCAGAGGCTAGCTGAGTACTGTAGGGTACCAGTATCTGGTCAGAGGCTAGCTGAGTACTGTAGGTACCAAGAGGCTAGCTGAGTACTGTAGGGTACCTGTATCTGATCAGAGGCTAGCTGAGCACTGTCCAGTGGACAAACTGATGCCAACCACACCTTTATGGTGGGGTTAAATCTTCACATCGTCACAGATAACAAATATGTACAGATACATGTTATTAGTCACTACTTTTATTTATTGTTTTAGTAAAGATTGGGCTGTGGATTTATCTTTACTTAGACTGCAAGATATATTTATATAATGTTTACTGATGTAGCTAGACCAGATTTACTATAAGGTTCGTGGGTGAGGTCAGGGGCATGTTACCTGCCAGCTCTCAATGGAAAGAGTGGCAAAGCCTGAGAGTTTCAGTGAGTTGGGGTGGTGGTTAGAACAGCCTCATGGTTTCAGATGGGAGGAGGTTACCAGAGAATGGGAAGGAGGGATGTTCTGAACAGCCTCATCATAATTTTGGTTGAGATGTTGCAAGACAGAGTGTATGAGAACAGCTGAAGTGGTGACTTGGTGACGGGCTGCTGCTGCTGCTGTTGCTGAAGATGACTCCTGGTGTACATATTGTCACCATTAACTATGATGACGTTACTACTGACCTGCATATTACTTCATTATACAGTCATTGTTTAGAAAGCTGATTACAAATTTGCTTCGGGAAATGTATGCACGAAGTCTTTTCCCCATTCCAGTAACTTTTTAATCGAGTTGATCACCTCATCAGAGGCGTTACAACTGTGGTTGTCATGTGTTGCCATCAATGACACTGTGCACCTGCTGATATATTTGATCATACGGCAGCGTTGCCAGGCCAGACAATATGGTTACATTGGAGGGTGTGTCCTGACGCCCGTAGTGTGGGCATAGTTACATACAACAGTTGCATGCATCGGAGCGTCTGGTCAAGGGGACACTTCAGCTCAACCCGGGTCTGGAACTGAATGTAATTATATTACAAGAGCTTGTACAAAGTGTAAAATGCCTTCATTGCCATATTTTCACCAAATAAACACAATGAATATATCATCTACATGTGTTGGGTTTTTTTCAATCGAATTTTCAACATAACTAGTGGCCTTGTGAGCCAGCACTGTTGATCAAGAAACATTGTCACTGTGATGTGTGTTATGTGGCCGACTGGAACTTTTTATGATGGCTCTCACATGCTGACTGCACCGTTACACATCTATGCTATATCACTAATATAGCAGAGTCTGAGAGGTGGGATTGCAGGGGGAGATAACTGTCAATAAGTTGTAAGTATGTGAACGTTTATTTTGATAAAATAACATATCTTACACTATGATTTCATTTGCAATACACATGTTTAAAATGTATAGGAATATTTACAAAGGCAAACCTCCAGAACTTTCATATACTATATACAACCTCCTAGAGCTGGCTTCTGGAATCTACTTGACATGATGTCCCACGTGTAGCCCCTATATTGCCACCCAGCACCCTGGCGGAGGATAGGCGGGCCTTCACTACAGCCTGGGCTGCTCTCCTGCATACAACCCAAGCACCAAATCTGAACTGGTATGTGGTTGATAGATGCCCAGTCTGGGATGGAGATGACGTAGGATGCACCACTCTAGGTCCAGGAATCAGCTTCTTGCCGCCTTGTGGTGCCTTGTGGTGTAACTAAAGGATCACGTGTTGACTGTAAACCTCGGGTACTTCCCGTGCGAAGGGTGGACTGGAGCATGGAGGTAAACATCCTCGATATCCGGGACATGAGATGGTTGTAGAATCAGCATTTTCACCAAATATTTACAAACCCAAACATGTATGTTGGGAAGAGTCTCTCAGGGACAATATCTGCTAGTCCAAGATAAGATCAGTGGACCCTGACATCATGAACAAAGAAGGGGCCTTGTGCAGGTTGTGTCTTGGCATACTTTGGCAACTTGAACAAAGTGGTATGATTCCTTGAAACCCTCTTAGAGGTTCTCCAGCAAATTTTTACATATTGGGTGGCAGTGTATTCCTGTTTGTCTCCGTCATTGTGGGGAACCCTTTTGGTTTTGTGACATGCCTCAGGAACACCTCAGCTTGAAAAAAGTCTGCGATCTAGGGCGCTACATCAAAGGCTTCTTCACTCCTCTTTCTCCTAATCTATTTGCAAGACCATGACTTCCTGGAGTGATTTGAGAAAAACAGGAACTCCACCCTTGGTGCATGCAGGGAGGTGTCAAAGAACACTGCACTGAGGTTGAACAGGAGTGGTAGTCTGTCTTGTCACAGTCCCTAAACCGCATTATTCTGTTCTGCCCAGCCTTTCTGCAATGCTGAAGCAAGTCTAGATTTCCTCAGGTTCTGAATCTCATTTTTACTTCAATGTGTTGAGTACACAGAATACAGTAAATGGCTGATACGAAAATGAGGGCTGTTGGTTCAACAAAACCATATGATATAAACATCAGTCCCAGTTGGATTATATTCTTCGAAATTCGGGGTAAGTTATCACACCATATTAGGCATCTTAGCATCCAGGGATCATGTTGCACTGAATTCCAGTAATTACTTTGTGAGTAAGATCAATGTGTAATATGTACGGCAGGATAGCCCAATCATTTTATAATTCAGATTCAGTTCATAATCCAGCTGGCTCAGTAGATGCTGGATTACAAGGAATGGCAGGAAGAATTCTACAGTCAACTACCAAACAGATTTCTACCTAGTCATAAAAAGTACAAAAATAGCTTCTACATCATATAATACGAAAATGACACAAAAACTTGGATGAATATCACGAAACACCCTTCATGGAATGGACGGATTAATTGACAAAAACAAGAATGTTTGTACCAAAGAGCTTGCACAATGAGAGCAACATCTGATGGTATTACTTCTGTAACAGAAACTGATGATCTAATGCCAATCTCTTCCATACTGAACCATTTAGAAAATAATCTTCATACATTCCTAGGCAACAATAACAACCTACGTTCTGGTCATAGACACCATGATTAACAATGTGGCAAGTCCTCAAACATTCACTTTTCTAAATGAATACTTCTGGAAATAGACTTCCAGATGTTGTAGCTCACCTGAACTCTGAACACAGTTGCAGCCATACTTAAGTCAAACTGGAGTTTGGTATGAACTCCGAACAGTCAACAGAGCTGGGATCAATGTATGCTCTAACTGGTATCATATGATTTCACAAACCTGCTGCATATCAAATTTCATAAAGGGGTGTTCTGTCACACGTACATGTGAGAAGGACACACATCATAGAAGTTCAACAATTCTATTGGTAGTAATCCAAGGGTAGTTATGTAGCACTGACAGCTACATTATATAATTATATACATCTAAATAATTATACGCAAATGGTCAATATTTTCAGGTTCATAGGTCTTGCTGTTTCAGAGGAGCTGTTGTAAATGTAACAGTTTTGGTCAGGTGAGCTAAAAATATCTGAGATATAAGGATATATGTCAGGTGTTGGACTAAAAATATTTGTAAATTCATTTGAATCAAACGTGCAAGTCATTCAATCACAATGACTTCTTCTCCTTGAAAGCACGGTCAACATGAGTTGTAACAAACTGATTCTGAAAGATGAAGACTTTGACTCTCTCGAAGACAAAGATAAAGAGGAAGAGAACAGCGATGTACTGTATCCAGCCCCACTTGATGAGGTACCAGAATCCTGGCGTGTAGCTGATGCTGGGTTAAGGATGCAGTCGGTCTGAATAATCTTGAGTACACAAGCCTACATTTGTTGTTTGTGAAAAACTCTGCACTGACTGGACAGTGTTGTTTTATATCAGTAATATGCCAACTACTACACTGGCAAGCTCGGATGTAACGGCTGCTTAGCTGATTGGCTACTGTCAGAATGTGGAGCCAGCAAAGGGAGGTAATATAATTATCGGGCCAAGCCGTGGATGCATCCAGGGTATAGCGGAGAGTGATCGTAACATATACCCTAGAGATTATCGAGGTTGCCTGCCACCAGCATCAAGGGACTCACAACCAGCCTGACGATTGTGTCCACTTCAGTCAACAAGTACAACAAACAATTCCATCCCAACTTCCCCAGAGGATCTATAGGGGTTGCCCTGGCATCATATTGTGTGTGTCAGCATCAGACTGATTGCATACTGTATATTACCGTAGATAAGCCGACCCCCTAACTTCACCCTTAAAATCAGTGTCAAAATGGTATGTTTCGCACATAAGCCGAGCTCCGCGATGGGGTCCTAATCGCGGCAAACACAGACCACAGAAAACTGGCAGTTACCGATAATTATAATTTCGGTCCGCATTATTCAAAGTATTCACAATCATATTGTGTCTACTCACGCCTCGAAATGATATATTGTAATGGCATGTTACAAAACCAGAGGACACAGCTCCTGTTGAAGCTGATCAGGAGTCATTTGTTGCCTCCACATCACTGAGTGGAGGACAAGCCACAGGGCAGACGGTCAGGAAAGGATACAGGTACACATCTTCTGGGTAGTCGATGGTAGCAGAGATGAGGAATGGTTTGCCAGTGCCACGCCCACTCTTCCAGATCTTGTACTGATCTTCCAGCATGGTCGATGCTAAACAGAAATATCTGATCAGCTGAATTTGTTCATGTTACTGAATTCATTAACAATAGGAATGTAAAACATCAAGCCATGCCCATCAAAGTGGACTAATTTCGCCACTACAAAATGCTGAGAAATCCCAATTTAAGACAAGTGAATTCCCTTTCCCCTAATCCGTATTATCAAGCATGGAACATTTTATGAAATTCAATCATATTAACTGTCCAAACTGCCCTCTGAGGCTGAAGGCCAGGAAGCACACAGCAAACATTCAGCCTGGCCTTGTTGGATAGTTTTCACTGTGTTCCACTGATTCATGTGTTTTGATTTCATTTCTAACTAACATTTCTGTGTCAAGATATGAATATGTGAATCTGGTCGCAAGTGACTGTGCCATTTTGGACAGCAGCCTCCTTTGTGACATATTTGTTCTGGTTTGTTAAATTCTAACACTTGCAGCTCTTCACACCTCTTGCCAATTTATGTGCATAGAGTCAATAATCCGCTGATTCATGTCACGTCACAGTATGATCATACTGGATCACATCACGTATTTGTTTTGTTATAAAACTATCGTGGATAACTTCTACAACCACAACATGTGTTATCTGTAGGAGATGATTGTATAAATACAAAAGCTGCACATGGTGTATTGTCAATTCATACATCAGACAGCACAATGAATTACAGTTGTTTCTTAATTACTTGAATCACTTAGTGTCAGTACAAACCATTCCTCTGAGAGTATGATCTGAAGATTGTGGAGAGTTCGTAAGTATCAGCAAATGTGCTGGTCTGGTTGATGAGGGAGCCCTGCAGTGGAAGATACATTATTACTTCTCGTACTGGCACACTGACATACTATATCTAATGGCCTACTGGCACAATCACATTGTCACACCTACATCTAGCCTACTGGCACAATCACATTCTGACAGCTACATCTAGCTTACTGGCACAAGCACCTTCTGACAGCTACATCTAGCCTACTGGCAAAATCACATTCTGAAAGCTACATCTAGCCTAAAGGCACAATCACATTCTGACAGCTACATCTTGCCTACTGGTACAATCACTTTCTGAAACTACATCTAGCATACCGGGAAAATTGCATTCTGACAGCTAAATCTAGCCTACTGGCACAATCACATTCTGACACCTACATCTAGCTTACCAGCACAATCACATTCTGAGAGCTACATCTAGCCTACTGGCACAAGCACATTCTGACACCTACATCTAGCTTACTGGCACAATCACATTCTGACAGCTAAATCTAGCCTACTGGCACAAGCACATTCTGACAGCTACATCTAGCTTACTGGCAAAATCACATTCTGACACCTACATCTAGCCTACTGGAACAATCACATTCTGACACCTACATCTAGCTTACTGGCACAATCACATTCTGAGAGCTACATCTAGCCTACTGGCACAATTACATTCTGAAAGCTACATCTAGCTTACCGGCACAATCACATTATGACAGCTAAATCTAGCCTACTGGCACAAGCACCTTTTGACAGCTACATCTAGCCTACTGGAACAATCAAATTCTGACACCTACATCTAGCTTACCGGCACAATCACATTCTGACACCTACATCTAGCCTACTGGAACAATCACATTCTGACACCTACATCTAGCTTGCCGGCACAATCACATTCTGACAGCTACATCTAGCCTACTGGCACAATCACACTTCAAGAGTTACATCTAGCCTTCTCACATTATATCTTGTATCAATTCCACGATGATTCAAAGGTTGTTTCTGTCTGAATCGGAGAGTTCCAAACACTTCCAGCTCTGCACCAGGATTAGGGGAGAAGTGCTCAATGTAGCCAAGGGACTCCATGTAGAAAGAGGAAAACTTCTGAAAATGGAAATCAGAAATCATTGGACTAAATACATTACAGCAGGAATGAGTGTAAAATCAGCTGCACAGCATCCAACCAGATCATCAGTGAAGGTCTCCTCATTTACATGCACAGAACCCACCTAATTGAACCAACCCCATGACAACAGTACCAACCCCATGACAACTGTAAAATACCGTGACAACAGTACCAACCTCATGACAACAGTACCAAACACATGACGAATGTACCAACTCAATGACAACTGTACCAACGAATCACAACTGTACCAACCCCATGACAACTGTACCAACCCAATGACAACAGTACCAACCTCATGACAACAGTACCAACCTTATGACAACTGTACCAACCCCATGACAACTGTAAAATACCGTGACAACAGTACCAACCCCATGACAACAGTACCAAACACATGACAACTGTTCCAACCCCATGACAACAGTACCAACCCCATGACAACAGTACCAACCCCATGACAACTGTACCAACCAAATGACAACAGCACCAACCCCATGACAACAGTACCAACCCATGACAACAGCACCAACCCCATGACTTCTGTACCAACCCCATGACAACAGTACCAAACACATGACAACTGTACCAACCCAATAACAACAGTACCAACCCATGACGACTGTACCAACCTCATGACAACAGTACCAATCCCATGACAACTGTACCAACCCATGACAACTGTACCAACCCCATGACAACTGTACCAACCCCATGACAACTGTACCAACCCCATGAAAACAGCACCAACCCCATGACATCTGTACCAACCCCATGACAACAGTACCAAACACATGACAACTGTACCAACCCAATAACAACAGTACCAACCCATGACAACTGTACCAACCTCAACCCCATGACAACAGTACCAATCCCATGACAACTGTACCAACCCCATGACAACTGTACCAACCCCATGACAACAGTACCAACCCCATGACAACTGTACCAACCCCATGAAAACAGCACCAACCCCATGACATCTGTACCAACCCCATGACAACAGTACCAAACCACGTGACAACTGTACCAACCCAATGACAACTGTACCAACCCATGACAACAGCACCAACCCCATGACATCTGTACCAACCCCATGACAACAGTACCAAACACGTGACAACTGTACCAACCCCATGACAACAGTACCAACCCATGACAACTGTACCAACCTCATGACAACAGTACCAACCCCATGACAACAGTACCAACCCATGACAACAGCACCAACCCCATGACAACAGTACCAAACACGTGACAACAGTACCAATCCCATGACAACTGGACCAACCCCATGACATCTGACCCAACCCCATGACAACAGTACCAACCCCATGACAACAGTACCAACCCCGTGACAACAGTACCAATCCCATGACAACTGTACCAACCCCATGACAACTGTACCAACCCATGACAACAGTACCAACCCCATGACAACTGTACCAACCCATGACAACTGTACCAATCCATGACAACTGTTCAACCATTCTGACTAATATGCCATGAAGACAGCAGTGTATAACACCACTACCTGTGGCACATAACACACCTGGGCAACACAAGTACCTGTAGTCTGTAGTGGACAACACAGGTACCGGTAGTCTGTAGTGTACAACTCAAGTACCTGGAGTCTGTAGTGGACAACTATAGTACCCGTAGTCTATAGTGGGCAACACAGGTACCGGTAGTCTGTAGTGAACAACTCAGGTACCCGTAGTCTATAGTGGACAACTCAAGTACCCGTAGTCTATAGTGGACAACACAGGTACCCGTAGTCTATAGTGGACAACTCAAGTACCTGTAGTCTATAGTGGACAACTCAAGTACCTGTAGTCTATAGTGGACAACTCAAGTACCTGTAGTCTGTAGTGGACAACACAGGTACCCGTAGTCTATAGTGGACAACACAGGTACCTGTAGTCTATAGTGGACAACACAAGTACCTGTAGTCTATAGTGGACAACTCAAGTACCTGTAGTCTATAGTGGACAACACAGGTACCTGTAGTCTGTAGTGGACAACACAGGTACCTGTAGTCTATAGTGGACAACACAAGTACCTGTAGTCTGTAGTGGACAACACAAGTACCTGTAGTCTGTAGTGGACAACACAGGTACCTGTAGTCTGTAGTGGACAACACAAGTACCTGTAGTCTGTAGTGGACAACACACCTGTAGTCTGTACCAACTCAAGTCCTGTAGTGGACAACACAGGTACCTGTAGTCTGTAGTGGACAACACAAGTACCTGTAGTCTGTAGTGGACAACACAGGTACCTGTAGTCTGTAGTGGACAACACAAGTACCTGTAGTCTGTAGTGGACAACACAGGTACCTGTAGTCTGTAGTGGACAACTCAAGTACCTGTAGTCTGTAGTGGACAACACAGGTACCTGTAGTCTGTAGTGGACAACTCAAGTACCTGTAGTCTATAGTGGACAACACAAGTACCTGTAGTCTGTAGTGGACAACACAGGTACCTGTAGTCTATAGTGGACAACACAAGTACCTGTAGTCTGTAGTGGACAACACAAGTACCTGTAGTCTGTAGTGGGCAACACAGGTACCTGTAGTCTGTAGTGGACAACTCAAGTACCTGTAGTCTATAGTGGACAACACAAGTACCTGTAGTCTGTAGTGGACAACTCAAGTACCTGTAGTCTATAGTGGACAACACAAGTACCTGTAGTCTGTAGTGGGCAACACAGGTACCTGTAGTCTGTAGTGGACAACACAAGTACCTGTAGTCTGTAGTGGACAACTCAAGTACCTGTAGTCTGTAGTGGACAACACAGGTACCTGTAGTCTGTAGTGGACAACACAAGTACCTGTAGTCTATAGTGGACAACACAGGTACCTGTAGTCTGTAGTGGACAACACAAGTACCCGTAGTCTGTAGTGGACAACACAGGTACCTGTAGTCTATAGTGGACAACACAAGTACCTGTAGTCTATAGTGGACAACACAAGTACCTGTAGTCTGTAGTGGACAACTCAAGTACCTGTAGTCTGTAGTGGACAACACAGTACCCGTGGTCTATAGTGGGCAACACAGGTACCTGTAGTCTGTAGTGGACAACACAGGTACCTGTAGTCTATAGTGGACAACTCAAGTACCTGTAGTCTATAGTGGACAACACAAGTACCTGTAGTCTGTAGTGGACAACTCAAGTACCTGTAGTCTATAGTGGACAACACAAGTACCTGTAGTCTATAGTGGGCAACACAGGTACCTGTAGTCTGTAGTGAACAACTCAAGTACTTGTAGTCTATAGTGGACAACACAAGTACCTGTAGTCTGTAGTGGACAACACAGGTACCTGTAGTCTGTAGTGGACAACTCAAGTACCTGTAGTCTATAGTGGACAACACAGGTACCTGTAGTCTGTAGTGGACAACACAGGTACCTGTAGTCTGTAGTGGACAACTCAAGTACCTGTAGTCTATAGTGGACAACACAGGTACCTGTAGTCTGTAGTGGACAACACAAGTACCTGTAGTCTATAGTGGACAACACAGGTACCTGTAGTCTGTAGTGGACAACACAAGTACCTGTAGTCTGTAGTGGACAACACAGGTACCTGTAGTCTGTAGTGGACAAATCAGGTACCTGTAGTCTGTAGTGGACAACACAAGTACCTGTAGTCTGTAGTGGACAACACAGGTACCTGTAGTCTGTAGTGGACAACACAAGTACCTGTAGTCTGTAGTGGACAACACAAGTACCTGTAGTCTGTAGTGGACAACACAGGTACCTGTAGTCTGTAGTGGACAACACAGGTACCTGTAGTCTGTAGTGGACAACACAGGTACCTGTAGTCTGTAGTGGACAACTCAAGTACTTGTAGTCTGTAGTGGACAAATCAGGTACCTGTAGTGTGTAGTGGCCAACACAAGTACCTGTAGTCTGTAGTTGAATACACAGGTACCTGTAGTCTGTAGTGGACAACTCAAGTACCTGTAGTCTGTAGTTGACAACACAGGTACCTGTAGTCTGTAGTGGCCAACACAAGTACCTGTAGTCTGTAGTGGACAACTCAAGTACCTGTAGTCTGTAGTGGACAAATCAGATACCTGTAGTGTGTAGTGGACAACTCAAGTACCTGTAGTCTGTAGTGGACAACTCAAGTACCTGTAGTCTGTAGTGGACAAATCAGGTACCTGTAGTGTGTAGTGGCCAACACAAGTACCTGTAGTCTGTAGTGGACAAATCAAGTACCTGTAGTCTGTAGTGGACAACACAAGTACCTGTAGTCTGTAGTGGACAACACAAGTACCTGTAGTCTGTAGTGGACAACACAAGTACCTGTAGTCTGTAGTGGACAACACAAGTACCTGTAGTCTGTAGTGGACAACTCAAGTACCTGTAGTCTGTAGTGGACAAATCAGGTACCTGTAGTGTGTAGTGGACAACTCAAGTACCTGTAGTCTGTAGTGGACAAATCAGGTACCTGTAGTGTGTAGTGGCCAACACAAGTACCTGTAGTCTGTAGTGGACAACACAAGTACCTGTAGTCTGTAGTGGACAACACAAGTACCTGTAGTCTGTAGTGGCCAACACAAGTACCTGTAGTCTGTAGTGGACAACTCAAGTACCTGTAGTCTGTAGTGGACAAATCAGGTACCTGTAGTGTGTAGTGGACAACTCAAGTACCTGTAGTCTGTAGTGGACAACACAAGTACCTGTAGTCTGTAGTGGACAACACAAGTACCTGTAGTCTGTAGTGGACAACACAAGTACCTGTAGTCTGTAGTAGTAGAACAGCAGCAGTTTGACACCGACAACATTTTCTGCATCTGTCAGTGGCATTTCAATGTTGAGAACCATTCTATCAGCTTGTCCATCGCCATTGCTGTCCTCTTCTCGTGTCTAATGAGGGAGAGAAACACATACAACTTGATCAATATTCTTTGATAAAATATTTTCAAACTTGGTCTTATGAATAAGCGGTCTTGTTTGAATAGAAATTGAATCAAAATGTGTAAGTCCCAAGTAGTGTTAGCAGTTTGATGCGTGCTCTCACTAGCTCTTTCATTTAAGTTTTTATGATCTAACTTTACAAAAGAAATAGTGTCTCTATTATCTGTCCCTCACAATGGGTACCTCAAATCTCTATTGTCTGTCCCTCACAATGGGTACCTCATATCTCTATTGTCTGTCCCTCACAATGGGTACCTCAAATCTCTATTGTCTGTCCCTCACAACGGGTACCTCAAATCTCTATTGTCTGACCCCTACAATGGGTACCTCAAATCTCTCTTGCCTGACCCCTACAATGGGTACCTCAAATCTCTCTTGTCTGTCCCTCACAACAGGTATCTCTCTCTATTGTCTGTCCCTCACAACAGGTATCTCAAATCTCTATTGTCTGTCTGACCCCTACAATGGGTACCTCAAATCTCTATTGTCAGTCACTCACAATGGGTACCTCAAATCTCTATTGTCTGTCCCCTACAATGGGTACCTCAAATCTCTATTGTCAGTCACTCACAATGGGTACATCAAATCTTTATTGTCAGTCACTCACAATGGGTACCTCAAATCTCTATTGTCTGTCCCCTACAATGGGTACCTCAAATCTCTATTGTCAGTCACTCACAATGGGTACCTCAAATCTTTATTGTCTCATCTTAACGACTAGACCTCGGGTTTCTATTCCCTCATATTAATGACAACACACACCCATTTTGTGCGGACATATCGCCATCCATTTGTGTCAAGATCGTTTAGTTGAGGGTCAAAATCGAGTTTCAGTCGACTTGCAGAAATAACAAGAAAGAATTGGTAAGTGCCATGAGTGGTGATAGATAGGCCAATCATCCATGATTATGTTTACATTAAGTTTTAATCGAATGCATGCGATGGTAGCGTAGCGATCGGCAAAGCAGGTGGGTGGGGTACACCGGAGTGTCCGGCCTTGTCATAATGTATTGTACTGTGAAGCATTTCGAGTCGGGGGGGTCATCTCAAATTTTTTATATTTTTCTTAACATCTATAATCCTCGCAAAGACACGAGGGCCTGTGGTTTTGTTTGGTGCACCTTAATGCCAGGTACTTGGCCTCTCTGACTCACCTCCAAGTATCTGAGGAATCTGTCTCACCTTAAAGACAAGTATCTGGGATCTCTACCATTGACAGGGATGTTAGGTTCCTTTTCTTTCTCTTTAAGAATGATACCTGGCGTCTCTATTGTCTCAACTCACTGACACATACCTGAAGTTAATATTGTCAGGGGTATCTATCATCTCCCCTTAATGACAAAAACCTGGGGTTTCCATCGTCTCAGTTCAATGACAGGTACCTGGGGTCTCTATTGTCTGACCTTACTGACAGGTACCTGGCGTCACAGTTGTCTGACCTTACTGACAGGTACCTGGCGTCACAGTTGTCTGACCTTACTGACAGGTACCTGGGGTCTCTATTGTCTCAGCTTAATGACAGGTACATAGGGTTTCTGATGTCTGACCTTACTGACACTAGACAGGTACCTGGTGTTACTCTTGCCTCATCTAAATGATAGGTACATACAATGACAGGTACATAGGGGTCTCACCTTAATGACAGGTACATAGGGGTCTCACCTTAATGACAGGTACATAGGGGTCTCACCTTAATGACAGGTACATAGGGGTCTCACCTTAATGACAGGTACTCGTAGCCGCTCCTGCTGAAGGAGGTTGTATTTCTGGTAGGTGCTGTAGGTCACATATTCTCCAGAGTCCTGAAGCTCAACAACAATCATCAAGTCTCGTTTGAATGTAACTGCAGGAAACTCACGATAATAAGCCTCCTTCTGCCAGAAGCCTGAAAAAGATTGTGAGAAAACAGGATATTAAACAAACCACACTATCAGAAGAGTTACAAAGTGATACAGCTCTTCAGGAGTGAACCAAAATCACAAAAAATATATCACAATCAGGAATGAAGTCTCAGAATGAGTTTGACTTTGCAGCCACGATTCAGAGACAAAAAAATGTATTCTCAAAGATGTTGCAATCAGTTACAACCTGGATTTTCACTTGCCTAAATTTTGGACTATTATTAGCAGAGCTTACAAGAGAAAACAGAATGTTCCTGGACTGGGATATTGGATGACATTTGACTGCCATGTCAGAATGTTGACACCTGATCAGTTCATGTAATCTTGATAAAATATCATGCCCCTTTCCCAGGTGGAAATAGATTTCTGAGAGGAAGAATAAATCTATCATACTCTCTATTATGTCCATCAATAGGTTTTTCCTCTGTTTCACGCCATCATGTTTGCAACAGCAGTGACGTAATGATAATGACGTCACGTGCACGCACAGAAAAAGGCATGGCTGATTAAATACTGAAGGTCAGTTCCGTCTCTGTCATTCTTGGCATGTTCCCTATCAATATTGATTACGGGTCGCAGTACTATTATCAATATTGATTACGGGTCGCAGCACTACTATCAATATTGATTACGGGTCGCAGAACTATTATCAATATTGATTACGGGTCGCAGCACTACTATCAATATTGATTACGGGTCGCAGCACTACTAAATACATAACAGTGGTGACGAGGATAGGAAATGGATCTTACGCACAGGATTTGTGCAGATGTACAGACTATTGGTGAGACTTTTCTTAGTGCTGTCCATACTAGCGTCGACGTTCATGATGGCAGCCTACACGGTCGGGAGCGTTGGACCTTATGATGCGCGGGAAGACTGGCAATCTTACTCAGAAAGAATCTTACTAGTATACTTTGAAGCCAATGACGTGTCACCGTATCGCAGAGTACCAGCATTCTTGTCGATAATTGGAAGTTCGAGCATGACAAAACAGATGCTCTGCAGCCTTTCTACAGGAGGAGGATGGAGTTGCCTATCCATCAAGGCTGTATTCTTTGGGGTATCAGAGTAGTGATCCTTTCTAAACCGTGTGAGAACATTTTACAAGAGCTTCACTCAAGTCCCCTGGGCATGGTCAAGATGAAATCGGTTGCCAGAAGCTATGTCTGGTGGCCTGGTATTGATCTAGCTATTGAAAAGGTGAGATCATGCACATCATGTCAATAAGTCCAAAACATGTCAGCCACAGGCTGCTGCTACTCACCCTTGGATTTGGCCAACAGCACCGTGGAGAATTCATTTGGATTTTGCAGGTCCTACCTGAACAATATATTCCTTATTGTTGTTGATGCCTATTCAAAAGGTTTACTCCCAAAAGTTAGATGTCCCAAAAGTCATACATCCCAAATGTCAGACAAATCAATCAGGTGTGACTGTGATTACAACCTAGTCTTACCCACTGATATAATGAACCTGTCCCATACACTAACGAGATGGTTTTCACATTTGTACAGAAATACTTTGATCAGACTACTAATGTTGACAGTTAATCTGGAGAGAACTCAAATTGTTGTTTTTAGAAGAGAGATTAGATTATTCTGTATTTTTCAAAATATTTGATACCAAAATTCAACCAGTCCTTTTGTATGGTGCCGAAGTATGGGGTATTAATAAATTTACATTTAACTGCATGTAAGAAGTTCTTAAATGTTGGTCCCCAAACACCAAATGTAATTGTTTGTGGTGAATGTGGACATTACCCAATGTATATAAATGCACAACGGCGTTTCATAAAATACTGGCTTAAACTTGTAAATATGCATCAACAAAGAATTCCAAGAAAAAGCTTATGATATGCTAAATAAATGTATTACGATAATTGCTGTTATGAGAACTATGTTTCATCTGTGCGTAATTTATTGTTTTCAAATGGATTGTTCGGTTATTTCAAGGTGTTGGTAATGAATCTCAGTTTCTTCAAATGTTTAAACAAGTTGCAGTTGACATGTATATACAGTCATGGGATAGTACAAATGAAGAAAGTTCAAGGTATAAGCTGTACAGACAATTTAAAAGCCTTTTAGAGCCAGAAAAATATTTAACTATGTTAACAAATAAGAAACACAGAAATATTCTTACTAGGATCAGAGATTTTGCATGCTTGTTTTTACGATGTTCACTTTGATCAAAACAGGATTACAGATTTATTATTCTTTGAGAGGCATTTTAGAAGTTGTGAAGATGAAGGAAAACTAAGTTCTATAGATAGTCAACTTCTTTATTGCAATGAGTGCGACATTTCGGTGAAGGCACTAACACCGTTATCAAGCAAGTCACTCACTGAAGTCACTCACTTGCTTGATAACGGTGTTAGTACCTACACCGAAACGTTTAGCATTTCTTCTGTTTCTAATAATACTTGTTTAACTATATATATGTTCCAAGCAGCTCCTCTTCTGTCTGAAACCATTTTGTTCTTCAGATAGTATATCATTATTTTCACAACAGATACTGAGCCTAGTGTTAATTATATCACAGTATACTTTACACGGGATTGCCATGAGTGAGATGCCTCTATATGTTGACGGGTTATAAGGATCCAAGTCTGGCTTTAAAATAGGGTTAATGATGTTCTGCTGCCAAGCATTTGGAACTTCACCACTCTTAAAACAATGAGATATTATTTTGTGCAACATGTCAACACAGATTGGTATCTTCATACTCTCGGTCGGTAGGTTGTCAATACCTGAAGCTTTTCTCAGTTTTAGGCGTATGATTGCATCTTCTACTTCTCTGTCTGTAATAGGTGTGTTAAGGGAATCACATGACACCTGTCTATCAGGCTGAACAATGTTGTCACTCAGCTTGATCATAACATCACGAAGGTGAAGATCATCATATGCGTCATTATTCTGCACAGAGTATATATTTTCAAAGTCACTTTTCCATCTGTCGAGAACAGCTTTTGTTTCAACTACACAATTTCCCTCTTCATCTTTAACCTCCATTGGCACTCGGTGAGATCTGTCACTGGCAACTCTGATTTTACCTATCTGCTTCCAGAAATCTCTTGAATCATTATTATTAAACGAGTCAACAAGCTTATCGTACTTCACCTGTTGATATGCTTTCTTGCACTTTCTCAGTTGTTTATCAAACACTTTCTTTTGTTGAATGTATTGTTGTTTTAAAACAGTTTTAACACTGTTATTGAAGGTTTACATTTCAACCATTTCGTTCTTTGTCACAGACGTCATCCCAATGTGATTGAAGATCAGAATTCCAATATGGCTTCCTTTTTAGAGGCATTATGCTTGTTATGTGAAACAGGAACATGGTGTTTGTTTATCTCATCTTGTATCATATTAACAAAGGACATGTATGCTTCATTAAATACTGAAGGTCAGTTCCGTCTCTGTCATTCTTGGCATGTTCCCTATCAATATTGATTACGGGTTGAAGCAGGAAATACATAACACTCTCAGCAACAGGAGAAGCTGTAAATACTCATGTCTGGACCAGACAATCCACTGATTGACGTTATGAGCAGCACTGAACTATCAGGGTATCATAACACAACATTATGGCATAACCAAGCTTGTGAGTCTGACCAACTGATTAACAGTCACTTCTTACATAGCATAGGTAATATTCTGACAGGAAATCCCATGGGTTAGATTGACTTCCTTGCGTTCCAATTTTTCTAAGGTGTGTAAACCCTTTCCCACAAGGACATAAAGAAACGTTCTTAAATCCTTCTTCCTACTTGTGTCTCTATCAGATTTACTCCAATTTGGGTCCAAACTGCCTACACTCAGCAACCCATGTTATCTATAACCATCAACAGGTAGTGATCACTGTCATTGTTTGAAAAAAGTATAATCAGATCTTCTTAATGTAAGACCTGTACACTTTATTCAGACCCCGTGTACACTTTATTGACCATATTGGTATTGTGTTACATGCGTGTCAGTCCATAATTTTGTTTTTTGGGAGGGGGGTACGGGCGGAAATCTTACCAATATAAACAATATTTCCGCTTCCGATATATACAAAGAGTAGCAAGTCGCGTACTTTTAGAACGAATTCCGATGAGCCTTGTATTCGTTCAGCATGCACCGACATGACTGTCAAGGCGAGCCGCATTTAGTGACATTTGAACACTGATCATTTCCCCAATGTTTTGGAATTCTTACCATGGCTTCTGTAAACAACAAAGAGTGGCGGTATGAAGGTAAGGACCAGGATACCAAACATGAAGAGTGTGGCCTTGGAGCACACGGACGCCCTGTATCGGCGCAACTCTGGGTGTGTGAATACCTCGTACACCGCCATTTTCAAACAATGCAGGCTCGCACTAACTGGCCGGCGTTGTCAACAAATGATTTGTCAACAACACAAATATATTAATGGTGTATGAATTTGTATCATGATTTGTGCGATTTGTGATTTCACATCACAAGTGCAGGTCATTATACAGAAAGGTGTTGATGCGGTTATTTTAATGTCTGATTTAGGAACAATAACATGAGTTACCTCCCTTGCATAGCGACACGCGACTTGCATTTGTTTACGGTAGTGCATAAGCTGGGTCCTGTCTCTCATTTCGCAAGTTAATGACGCGCTGAGGAAGCGGGGACCAGCTTACCCAATATCTGCAACAATCTTCCCATTTATCGTGAAGTTTAATCATTTTGTGAATTTTTAGGAAAATATACGTAAGAACATTATTCTTTGTAGGTCTTTGTAGCTTTACCTATGTATAGGAACTGGCGTTCACTCTAAACACTCAGAATGGGATAACATGTGTCCACACTTAGCAAAAGGTTTGCTGAACAGCAGTTTTGAAGGAGAAGAATTCGTGAATGTGACGGTTTTTCAAGAACACAATCAAGTTATTTGAAGTATTTATCTGCTCGGTACTGTACAGGACTAGGTATACCGCCAGCGAGTCCACATATTTCTGCTTTAAATAAATTTTCGTTCTCTTTAATAATTAAATGATTTTCTTCTGTGCAGCATAAAATACACATCCATTGTTACATTTTCCTTAACTTTATTTCTAACACATGTTTATAGCATTTCTATTTGCACAGGATTGCCATGAGTGAGATGCCTCTATATGTTGACGGGTTATAAGGATCCAAGTCTGGCTTTAAAATAGGGTTAATGATGTTCTGCTGCCAAGCATTTGGAACTTCACCACTCTTAAAACAATGAGATATTATTTTGTGCAACATGTCAACACAGATTGGGATCTTCATACTCGCGGCCGGTAGGTTGTCAATACCTGAAGCTTTTCTCAGTTTTAGGCGTATGATTGCATCTTCTACTTCTCTGTTTGTAATATAGCCCAGCGGATAAGTGATCAAATTGTGCACTTCGTGTTACAAGCATGAAATTTGGCATGATTGTAGCTTATACCATTCTTATTACATAAGGATCGAGAGGCCTCGCAGATTTTTTATATTTTTCATATTTTGGGGGAAAAAAGTGAAAAATGATAAAAAAAACAACTATTTTCATTATAACTTTTTCTAATATTCTCCAATTCTCAAACATCATATATCAAATTGTAGAAAATTCATAGCTGATCATTTTCCATATATACATGTCTTGTCTATCTTTAATGGTTAGGTCTATGGAAGTCAGTTTATATCATGACAACCCGAAAAAGGGAAAATTGACGGACATTTTTCAAAATGGCCACCATATAGACTACAACAGTATAATAAGTATGAGATCATACCATGATCTAACAATGTTTTATCATTTCTTTACAAATTCAAAACGATAAGCCTCGCAGATTTTGGCCATTTTTAATTTTTGGAGGAAAATAGGGGGAGAAAAAATGAATGTTCCGAGAAATGTTATCTCAACTCAATTTTAAATCCTAATAAATTATGTATCAAGAATATTGCAAGAACAGATGAAAGTTTATTTGAAGGGATATTTCAGAAGATTAACATTTATCATCCCAAACTGTGTTCCACAGGAGATGACCGCCTCCGTGGTGTAGTGGTTAGAGCGTCCGACCGCGTCATACCAAAAGACGTTAAAATATTGTACTTGTTGATCCCTGCCTGGCGCTCGGCATTAATGGGTACAACAAACCCAATTTCACCTCACCTCACCTCACCTCACCTCACCTCACCTCACCTCACCTCCACAGGAGATATCGCTTGTGTGAGATCATATGATATCTCCTAGGAGATATCGTTTTGACAGTACAATGCTCTGATTTTGTACAATGCTCTGACAATGCTATGACGTCATGAACTGATGACGTCACAATGCTATGACATCGCTGCACTGCAAGTCTAATGGTAGTACAGTGTTGAGAGATTTACAGTTTTCATTGAAAAGTAATGAAGAATGATTTTTTACGATAAATAGAATCTCACCATCGTGTCTACTGATATCAATTATATCAACACTCGTTGAAAAAGGTAAAAATAAAATTTGAACCTTTATCAAACGTGTTGATATGATTGATATCAGTAGACACTTGGGTGAGATTCTCTATGTATAATGTATGAGTTTGGTTGCCTATGGATCTCCTATAAAAAACATTTCAGTATCAAAGTCAAAGTAGCTATATTCAACAATCTGTGGCAGGTCACTCAATTATGTCTTGAGTGGAATTGTATCTAGCTTGACTTAATTAGAAAATCAATTAGTCTCTTCCACATTTGCACAGTGCAGTGCACTTTAGAGCTGCTTTTACATATTTGGACCGGTTTGAACATTTTTTACACAGTATTTATTATTATTAGCATATTATAGGATATTTGTATAGCAAAAAGTTCTTTCTTGTTGGCATCACACCTCATAAAACTTGTCAGTTCTGAGGAACACATGAATTGGCTTCCACTCGTCGTCCTTTTGCACTTCCTCTTTTTGTTCTTGCACTGGATTTTGCGTTGCGTGTTGATATTTGTCCCAAACAGCATACACTTTCTGATTGGAGTTCAGAGGAGTATGCAAGTATTTCAAGAACACATTATAAAATATCCATCCAATGTTATTTGAGCTGCGGGTTTTAGCATGTTTATTACTGCGACTCCATCAAGGATTGATACGTCAACATCTGGTTTTGAGTCAGTTTGTGGTGAAATGTCTTCAGAGCAATTGAGAAGAACTGATTTTGTGCATGGACGTAGAGAACCTTGATGAGATATAGATAGTACGCAAGAGTGATATTCATGTCTGAAAAAGTCATTCAGGTTTCCATCCCTTGACTCGTCTGTATATATCTTGTCTTTATGGAAGAAATTTTACATTCATACTGTTGACACAAATGTGGTTGTGTTGGCCATGGCTGCAACAAGCGTTCTCGATCCCTACCTATGTTTCACAGCTTCACAGGAAGTGACAGTGTGTCATCCTTTGGTAGAATTGGAAAGCAGACCTCGTGGAATGGATGGAACGCGTTTACTGAAATTACAGGCACCTTTATTTCCCTCGCTCGTCCACCACTTGAAATCACTAATGCACAGATTCATCAGCTTGAGAAATTTGTTGTGCTGCTAACAGAGCAAGCAACCACGTGAAAGTGATTGAAGCAAGAAAGCATTTGTTCCCCACGAAGGGGAGAACATTGGACAATATACCCCCCAACAGAATCAGCTTTGATCCAACATATAGAGAGCTGTACATGTATATCAGGGGGGTTATATTTGGGGGCAATCCCTGATGAAATCACAGGAGTTACCAAGCCCTCTGGATAGGGGCTGGCAATAACTTTCTCAGGGAGAGCTTGTACCTCTATTTTCAAGTGAGTGAGTGAGTTTGGTTTTACGCCGCTTTTAGCAATATTCCAGCAATATCACGGCGGGGGACACCAGAAATGGGCTTCACACAATGTACCCATGTGGGGATTCGAACCCGGGTCTTGAGCGTGACGAGCGAACGCTTTAACCACTAGGCTACCCCACCGCCCCGTCTATTTTCAAATCTTCTGAAGGCATCAAAGAGCTGCCAGGAATTGCTGAAATGCATTGTGGGCGAGCGGGGGGCATGGTGGGCGAGCTGTCTCAGGCACCAGGCTAGTGATCCAGCGAGCTTGCCGGGATCGAGCCCACCTGTAACCAGCTGTAAAAACCTTGGAGTCAACTTTCTGTGCAGACTCTTTAAGTGTTGTCACAACCCCTAGTGTACAGTACACAACCCGGTGCACTTAAAAGAACCCATGAATCTGTTGGTAAATGACAAGATGTCACATGAATACTTACAGTAAACCTGCAACGTGCAGTAAACCTGTACAAGGTGTTGTGACTATGTGTCCCAGTCCACCAAGCTGTGAATGGGTACCTCGTAAGGATGGGAAAGCCGCCATAACTTGGTGCGCCGAGTGGCTGCAAGAGTTGTATGTTTCCCCGGGAGTTGAGATTGATAATACAATGTGCCGTTGAGATTCACATACAATGATCAAGGGGGAAAAAACCAAGTGCCTTGAGAATGTATCAGTTCGTGGATATGTACGTTATATAAATATCCTATAATATAATAATGATAAATACTGTGTAAAAATTTTCAAACCGGTCCAAATGCGTAAAAGCAGTTCTAAAGTGCACTGCACTGTGCAAATGTGGAAGAGACTAACTGATTTTCTAATTCGGTCAAGCTAGATACAATTCCACTCAAGACACAAATGAGTAACCTGCCACAGATTGTTGAATATAGCTACTTAGACTTTGATGCTGAAATCAAACATGTTTGCGTTGATTTTGATATGTTTTTTATAGGTGATCCATAGGCAACCAACCTCATACATTATACATGTAAGTAAATCTTCTGATATACTCATGCCAATAATGGTTGTCACCCCCTTCAATTTTTTTAATTGGAGAGGGGGTGCGGACTAGGGGTGTGAGGTGTGTGGGGGTTGGGGTGGGTAGGGGGATGACAACCATTATTGGCATGAGTATATATTCCTTCAAAAACTTTCATCTGTTCTCGCAATATTCTTGATACATAATTTTTTAGGATTTGGAAATCTAAGACTGACTTAAGGTATAATTGGTTGAAAAATTCCAACCCCCACCACCACCCCTTTTCCCCTCCAAAAGTGTAAAATGGCCAAAGTCTGCGAGGCTTTTCGTTTTGAATTTCCAAAGAAATGATAACAAAATGTTAGATCATGGGATGATCTCATACTTATTTTACTGTTCTAGTCGATATGGCGGCCATTTTGAAAAATGTCCCTTTTTCGGGTTGTCATGATATAAATTAACTTCCATAGACCTAACCATTAAAGATAGACAAGACATGTATATATGGAAAATAATCAGCTATGAATTTTCTACAATTTGATATATGATGTTTGAGAATTGGAGAATTTAA